GCCTCTCTGCTGGGATTAAAGGTGTATGCCACCAGGCCTGGCCTACTGTTGCACCTGTATGACCCATCTGTTACCAGCTGAATTACGTTTCCCCAGAAGGCACATTCGAGTCCTAATCATCCCAGTATCTGTGACTGCAATTGTCTTTGGAAAACAAGGGTCTTTGAGAGTGATCAAGTTAGGAAGAGGTCAGTAAAGTGGGCATGGACCAATGGGCCAGGAGCCCTCACAAAGGAGAAAGCAAAGAGGGCCATGTGAAGACAGAGGCCAGCTGAGTGAGGCAGCCACGTAAGGACCAAGGAAGCTGGAAGTGCTAGGAAGGCGTGTCCCCTCAGGTCTCAGAGAAAGCATGCCCTGCCCCACGCTGTGGTTTTGGTCTTCTGGTCTTAGGAACTGGGACTGTATGCTTCTGGCATTTCCAACCAGTCAGTTTGTGGTCTGTTCTGGCAGTCCCATATGAGTAACAATGGTCCTCACTTCATAATAAGAACCCTGGAGCCGGGTGTGGTGGCGCACGCCTTTAGTCCCAGCACTCGGGAGGCAGAGGCAGGCGGATCTCTGTGAGTTCAAGGCCAGCCTGGTCTACACAGTGAGTTCCAGGCCAGCTGGGTCTACAGGGAGATCCTGTCTCAAGAAGAAAAAAGAGGGGGAGGAAAGAGAGAGAGAGAGAGAGAGAAAGCAAAAGCAAGATGGTTATTTTGGGTTCTGCAGAAGCTGAGTGTCAACCTAGACAGAAGGTAAAAATGGCCAGTGCACCTATGTGGTTGATGGTGTTTACAGACCTGATCTCAAAGAATTTCCTGCCCTCTTTCACTCATGGGCTGCACTCAATCTTTCCTGAGACGAACAATCTTTTCTGCTAGTCCAGCACTGCTCCCACCCTAGATTCCCCGGTTGAAGCCAGGCATGGTGGCACACGCCTTTAATCCCAGCACTTGGGAGGCAGAGGCAGAGGCAGAGGCAGAGGCAGGCGGATCTCTGTGAGTTCAAGGCCAGCCTGGTCTACATAGTGAGTTCCAGGACACCTGGGGCTACAGGGAGACCCTGTCTCAAAGAGACCAAAAAAAAAAGCAGGTTGAGTGGGGGCCAGCAGAGCAAGCCAGTAAGCAGCGTTTCCCCATGGCCTGTGCTCCAGGTTCCTGCCCTGAGCTCCTATCCTGGGCTCCCTCAGTGATAAACTGACCCAGGGAATGCAAGCCAAGTAAACCCTTTTCTCCCCAAGCTGGTATACTGGTCAGTGTTTTGTCACGGCAATTGAAGGCAAACTAGAACACCTCCCCTTTCCTGATGTGTACAGCTAGTCACCTAGCAGATGGTCTGCAGCTCTTCAACTGTCAGCTGAACTGAGGGTTCCTAGACTAACAACACTAGCTGCCGGCTACAGACGGCCTTCTGCGTGTCTGATTCTCTGAGGGGCTCTGAACGCACCCTGTGCTGAAAAGGGACCATGACTTGTTACACCCAGGATGCTTCCCGTCATGGAACATTTACTTACCATCCTATTATGCTCTCAGTCATCTGCCCTCCCTGCTCCGTTCTCAACTTCACTGACGTCCAGCTCACTCCCCGTACCCACTGAGGGCTCAGGCACGGGGGGGATCCCACCCCTTCCCTTCCTGCCATCCTGTAAGTGTCCTAGAGCCCTCTGCACTGTGAGCTTGAGTCTCTAAAGAGCCACACGGTGTCCAAGCTCCAGTAGAGTGAACGAGTAGCCTTCCGTAACTGTGAAGAAATGGAATGATACAGGTCCAGAGCCAAAACGACCTTGGGCTGTCCTCAGTCCCCTCAGCAGCTATTCACCACCAACCTCCATGTCTGACCTACGTCCTGGTGATTATGAGGTAAAACATTCGGAACATCTTGACTTAGCAGACCATTAGCTCCACCAGTAGTCCAAAAGCCATACATGCCATCCACTAACCTCTGACACCTGTAGCAGACAGCCCTCATCATCCCACTATAACCTGCCTCCCAGAGTCCCACTGGTGTGTATGTATGTGTATGTGTGTATCTCTGTGTGTATGTGTGTGTATGTATGTGTGTATGTATGTGTGTGTATGTATTGTGTATGTGTGTGTGTGTGTGTGTGTGTGTGTGTGTGTGTAGGGGTACAAAGACCCTGGCATAAGTCTTTTTGTTCTGTGGCTATAAAAGTTCATGGGACCCTTCCATAGAGGACCATGTCATTCAGGGCCACCCTAGTCTGTGCTCCTGGGCAGTGCTCTTCCTACTTGGCTCAGAATAAACTTTTACTCCTTTTGGAGGAGATGATGTCCATTGTTGACTGCACCATCCAGTCCAACTGGTTCTGGGCTCTACTTGCCAAAAGCCCGGTCCTGCCTGTCCCAAGCCCACATTCATACCTGTTGCCACCCAAAGCTCCTCCTCTCTTCCCTCTGTAGGACCTACAATTCCAACCCTGCTTACTGGCCTCCACATCCCTTCACCCCATCCCCATCTCCCTCCTGGAGCTCCAAGGCCCCCAGGTGAGGTCCTTAGAAGACGCTCCTCCCAGGGGCTCTCTTACCCACCCCTCCAGCACCCGAGGAACCCGTGGCTCTGGCAGCTTTTCCCAGGCCAAGTCCCAGGCCTTCAGGAGCATAGGGAACCTTGTGGGGTCACGCAACATCTCCCTCTAGGACACAGACCACACCCGCTCATCAGCTGGGATCCCTATTCTGGATCATACTAGCGTTGTGCAGCACTGAGCTGCACACAGTGGTGGCAGCCCTCTGGGAGCTGAAGCTCAGAGGCACCTGGCATGGCTTCTCCCATCTTCCTCCTCTGACCCAGGGGCCTGTGGCTCCTGCCAGCACCCACAAGCTTATGCCAGTGTGGCCTGCTTCTGCAGATGGGGCAGTTCTTGGCAGTGCTCCCGCAGGGAGCTGGGGCTTTGTCCTTTGCAGTCGTTGTGAACCAGAAACAAGCCTGGGTCCTCAGCCACCTCCATGCTGGACTCTAACCAGCACCTTTGTCCTTCTCATTCTCATCTTTACCCAAGCTCTAGCTCTTACCCAACCCAGAGGGCAGGGTCCTGGGAGCTCCCCATTCGCCTCCCATTCCCCCCACCTGTCTGCCTCAGCATAGCCTCCCAGCATCTTGACCACCCTCTTGCCCAAAGCCAACCCTGGCCCTTGCCTCCAGGTCAGAACATCTGAAGTCTCCAGACTCACGGATCCGATGTTGCTCACTTCCACAATCACCAGAGCTCTCTGATCTGGCTGCCCAGGGCCATGCACCTGGGTGGGGCCTTGCTGTGCCTGTAGCTACTGCTGGCCCTCCCGGCAGGCTGACTACCAGGGGGTTCAAGGTTGGATTGCAGGTGGCTGAGCTGGCACTCAAGTCTACTAGTCCCCCTCCCCACAGTTCTGGCCACGGCTAGCTGCCCCCAATCCCACGGCCTTGGCCCCCAAAGCTGTGGGGCCTCGTTCCCCCAAACACTCTAGCCGCAGAAAAACACCTACCACTGTGGTTCACTCTACCGCCCGCTGCCAGTGACCTTGGAACCGCGGCCGCCCTTCCCGGGGCCTTGTGCAGGGCACCACTGTGCAAGTGTGTCTCCTTCCCTCATATTTAACAGCAAAGGGCAGTGTTCACTGTGGCTGGAAGCAGGTGGAGGCAGAGGCGGCAGGGCTCTCTCCAGCGCCCCCACCCCACAACACACAGGACCAGGGTGGGGCTGGAGCACAGGCTCTGGCTCAGAAGGGCCAGGAGAAGGTCCTGTGTTGATAAGGTGATGTTTGTGACAGTTCCTGGGCAGCCATGAATAAACATCTCCTCACCCGAGATAGGGAACTGACGACAGACTAAAATGATACCAAGATCCAACTTGGGGAGCCAAACAAATGTATTGCAGTTAGAGAACCAGGGGTGGGGGTTCCTCGTAGGACTACGGTTGGGGGTTACTTAGGGGAGCAGGGACAGCTCACAGGCGGCTGCATCCCTGAAAGTGCACCCCAGCATGGGTGGTGACTCCTAAAAGTGGGAACTCAGCTCTATGCACATCTTGCTGGCAGCTAGACAGCAGACCAAAATCCTGCTTATAGAACCTAGGGGATTGTGGGGTGTGTGTGTGTGCGTGTTCAGAGGAGCGGGTGACAGGGACCTTGTGCACTGGTGTCAGAGACTTCCTGAGTCTTAAGGGAGCCACCCTTTAGAACTTCTTGAGTCTTGAAGAGCTTCAGTCTGCAATGTTTCAATTGGGAGGAAATTGCAACATAAGGTGACAAGCTCTGGGAGTGTTTCCCCCTTGGTGAAAAGTTGGGTAGCTGTGACCCGCCCTGGGAAGAACCCACGGAGGGAAGGATGCAGGCTGAAACCTTGCAGGTAAGGGGGAGAGGCCCGGTCAAGAGTGTAAAGGATGACCACAGACACGGAGTATCTTGAGAGGGCGGGCAGCTGCCAAGTAGGTCATGCTGATGTGGAAGGCTGTCTTGTGAACACAGCTGATCACCACCTTAATCGGAATAGCTGGTGTCCACAAGAGACCCTCAAGATGGGCTTGAGGCACAGGAGGGGGGAAGGGTCCTTAGGGCCTCAACAGACTCCAGCCAGTCCTCCTGTGCGCCCTCACTGCTGCATGTAATTCTGCCAGCAGCATGAAGCATAGGAGGTGCTCCTGGAAGGACAGCAGAGCCCAGGGTAGCGTTCAGCACCTGGGCATATGGAGTGCCCAGAAAGAACAGGAGGCTTTCTAGTGCCCTGGGTAGAAGCAGGGCCAGGCGACACCCCCAGTATGAATCACGGCTCCACTCTGCCAGGGACTGACCCTTAACCTCTTCTCCTGCCTGCTTCCCGAGGTCAGTGTAGAGATTCTTTTTTGGGTTAGGGTGTCTCTTTATTCCCAGCTGGCCTGGAACTCTCTATGTGGCACACATTCTAGGTACCCCCCCCACCCCCAGATGCCCTCCACCCTCAGGTATCCCCCCCCAGGTGCCCCCCCCTCGTGCCCCACACCCGACGTGCGCAGCTCCCCGGAGGGCGGCAGGGGGCAGCGCCGAATGCGCGCGGACACCCTTAGAGACTACGCCCCCCCCTCCGACGAGGCCCGCAGTTCGGCGTGTCCCGGCTGGATCCGGTACTCCACCCTTCCTTCCTCCCCTCCGCACAGCGTCTCCCTGGCAACCCGCACCCTCCGCTCGCCTCGCCCGTCGCGTAAACAGGAAGTGGGTTTGTGCGGGCCGGCCGCTTCCGGCGCGCCGAGGGGCGGGAGCGATTGTGAGCGGCGGGCTGGAGCCAATCGCGGCCGACGGCGGCACCGGCCAACCGCGAGGGGCGGTCAGCGGCCGGGGGCGGGGCCTCCAGGGCACAGCCAATCGAGGCGCGGGGGGCGGGGCGGCCGGCCTGAAGCCCGGGCGGCGGCCGAGTCGGGTGAGTC